ACTAAATTTATCGGCGGTTTCTAGAAAATTCTTGAAAACCCTTATAACTGTGGTTTTGAACTCTATATCTAGTAGTTTGCTTTCCTCCATTTGTCATTTGTGACCTGTTTCTTTGTCTCTGCATTTTGGCTGCTTCCCTGTGTTGATAGAGTGGCTTTGTGTGCAAGGTGTCCTATAGGTCCCAGTGGCTCAGCCTCCCCAATTACCTGAGTTGGACACTCTTGTTGCACCCCTTTGTGGGCTTTGTGCACAGTCTTGTTGTAGTTAAGCCTTGATTGTTGTAGTTATCACTGGGAGGAATTGACCTCCAGGCCAATTGGCTGTGAGAATCAGCTGTGTCTGCAGTGGGAGAACTTCTGTGCTGGAGACACCCTTCTGGGGCAAGACTTGCTTCAGTGGGGCTTTGGTGCTCACTGAGTCTACCTGCTGAATGTGTCCCTTCTGGATCTGAGGAGTTGTAATCTGGATGGTCCCACTCTGACCACTGGGTACACTGGCTCTTGGATCTCTAAGGAGGTGCTAATTTAGCCTCTGCCTGAGGCTACCCAGCAGGAGCTATGGAGAGATCTGCAGATTCCTCTTCTTTGTTTGGGGTTCGGAGGTGCCTAGATGAGGCCCAGCTGTGAAGCAGTGCAAGCTGCTATGGGCCTTCTTTTGGAAGTTCTGGGTCTCTCTGACCCAGCTGCAGTTTGTTAGGTAATTTTCAGATTGCAAAGGGCCAGGCCTTTCATATGCAGAAACCTCTGCACACAGCTTGGGTGGGGCAGGGTCTCAGGGAATCAACAGGGCGGGGCAAACAGCTATGGCTGATCCTCAGTCCTCCCCTAAGAGGCCCCATGTCTCAGTGTTCTGGTAATCGCTGCAAGCACCTCTGAGAGAAAGCCACCCCCGAGTTCCGACCGATGCCAGACAGTCCAGTTTCTCCCCGTATGAGTCTGGGTCCCCAGAGACTCTCCCGGAACTGGAGTTGAGAGCCGTCAGGAGCTTGAGACTCCCTCCCGATTGAAAAAGACAGCCGTGTCCTCAGTTGCCAGCCCTTTCCATGTGCGCCTCCATACCTCTGCACTTTACTTCCGACTCAGTGTGCTTTTCTCTTTTCCTTCTAGTTGTAGAATTTCCACGCAGCCAGCCTTCCTGTGGTTCTGGATGATGTCCGATTTGTCTTTTAGTTTTATTTTTGAAGTGGTTGTGCGAGGAAGCAATTTCCGATGTTTACCTATACCATCATCTTGGTTTTTCGCATGACACATAGTCTTTAATAGGGAACAAACTGATAGGGATGGAGTTTTATTGTGAGATAAAATTAGACTTTTGTGGAAATCTATGTATTTCTTACTGCACAGCATTACAGTTAGGTCCCAGCTGTGTTTCATTGGTCAAAATTTTGGGATCTACCATATGAGTGACCAATATTTGTAATTTCCAAAGCTCTTCTGACTTTAGAACCCCTTGGATTTTTGCAAATAGTCAATAAAAAGATGAAGGTAGGTGAATCAAATATTGTTTCTATATTATTTTGTGTTTATGATCGTACTATTAAGCTGTGTCATTTTTGATTCATAGTATTTTGGTAAATCTATCTTTATAAAATAATGTCTTATCTACAAGTATTAGGTTTGTTTATGTTTCTAGTGTTATATTACAAAGGCTGATTTCTTTAAAATTATAAAAATAATGAAACACATGTTCCCATATAATTGTTTTATGATTGTTTAAATATTTCTTCCCTGAATTTAGTCAGTTAAGCTTTTTGATCAGTAAATGAAACTTTTTTCCTTTTAGTAAAGTACTCAACTGTATGGGATAGTGCATAAATCTTGGAAGACTGCAATAAATCGGCAATGTCTCGGGAACCCACCCCACCTCTCCCTGGAGATATGTCTACTGCTCCTATAGCAGAAAGCTGGTGTTATACACAGGTACATGTCGTAGAAATGCCTCACTTTATTTTACTTACAAATTTTAGAGTATTTTGAGAGTATTATGAAGTACTTTGGTATAGTTATTAGAAATGTTAAAAGACTGGGTCATAGGATGTTTAACATGTGACAGGTTAAAAGCATAAAGTTCATTATGAAAGTGTTTTTTTTTAATCTCTTAGGTTAAAGTTGTAAAATTTTCCTACATGTGGACCATTAATAACTTCAGTTTTTGTCGAGAAGAAATGGGTGAAGTGTTAAAAAGTTCAACGTTCTCATCTAGCCCAAGTGACAAAATGAAATGGTAAGATTTTTGTTTGCTTAGAGTTTAGATGTTATCATTGGCTACTTTATTGTTTTGTTGTTACTGTACCTGAACAGATAATAATCTATTTTACCTTAGATTTCTAAGAATAGTATAGAGAATTGTAAAGAACTAGAGGGGGATTGAGGGGATATTAACAAATGATTTTGTTATTGCCTCTCTTTTCTGAATGTTTCAAGTATCATATTCCTCCATGTGAGCCTGTTGTTTTATTTTAGGTGCCTGAGGGTAAATCCAAAAGGATTAGATGATGAAAGTAAAGACTACTTGTCCTTATATTTGCTTTTAGTCAGCTGCCCAAAAAGTGAAGTTCGAGCAAAATTCAAATTTTCCCTTCTGAACGCTAAAAGAGAAGAAACAAAAGCAATGGGTAAGTGATTTGCAAACTAACTGAAGACTCTGTAACTACTTGCTGTAACTTCTGCACGTTTGCCTACAAAGCTTAGGATATATTTTCCCACTAAAGTCTGCTTAGCCTAAAACATTTAATTTGGCTATTAATTAATTTTAAACACCTGTGTAGAGCTATAGTTTTTGTAGTAAGTTTTAGACTTCATAGACATGTAAAATTATTTAAAATAATACTAAAACTTAATTTTCTCATGTTCTAAAATGACATTCACTTGTCACTTGAAAACACAGTTGCTGGTCCCATGCCTGGCATATGTAATAGGTGCTCAGGAAATATTTCTCTTCTCCCTTGCTATTTTTGTTAGATAAAATCTGAAGAATATTGGAAAGATTTTTAATGTCTTATTTTGTCCCTAAAATTTTATTTAAATAATAGACCAGAACATTGACTGAAAGGAAGTCAGTTTTTCTTAGTATTAAGACTTGTTCCCATATGTAACCTGCTGAAATCATGTAACCTGGAGTTTCAAAAGAAGATGTATAATGTGCATAGTAGGACAATATATCATAACTGCTGCATTAAATTTTAAGTGTTTTCACAGAATCAAGTTAACATCACAAAATAACCTCCTCTAAATACATACTATTTAATATTATCTTTTATTGCCAAAGTAATACAGTTTCACATTATCTGGCATTTAAGACAGTGGAGTGTCTTAGTCCAGGCTGCCATGACAAAATACCACAGACTGGATGGCTTAGAAACAACAGAAATTTATTTCTCACTGACCCTAGAAGCTGGGAAGTCCAAAATCAGGGTGCTTACCATGGTCAGATTCTGATGAAGATCCTTTTTTGGGGTTGTGGACTAACTACTCATGTTTTCACATGGTGGAAGTGGTTAGGGAGCTTAATGAGGTCTTTTATAAGAGCAACATTCCCATTCATGAGGACTCCACCCTCATGAACTTATCTAGTCCCAATCACTGACCTCTTATACCAGTGATGGCGAACCTTTTGAGCTCAGCGTGTCGTCATTTTGAAAAACCCTAACTTAACTCTGGTGCCGTGTCACATATAGAAATTTTTTGATATTTGCAACCATAGTAAAACAAAGTTATATTTTTGATATTTATTTTATATATTTAAATGCCATTTAAGAAAAATCAACCAAAAAAATGAGTTCGCGTGTCACCTCTGACACGCGTGTCATAGGTTCGCCATCACTGTCTTATACCATCACATTGGAAGGTATTGTTATAGGCACCTCTCACCAACTCCAGAGAGGTGTTCCAGGACAGTGCCCTGAGTCAGTGGGAGAAGGCTGTTCCCAACCTCAATCCTTATCTTCTCATATAAATGAATTTATACGAGAGACCTTAAATATATTGTGGAAAGCCCATTTATTAAAGCATGCACCTTTATTAAAGAAGCAAAGCAAGCAAACTGTACATCTGGTTATGAAGCACAGATGGGTTCTCAGCTATTCTGAAGAGCGAGTTGGGAGGGAGTCTGAGGCTTTATATGCCTTCTTGTTTATAGGTTTCAAAATTCCTTTGCTGAATATTTTGGTACTGGTTTATTCTCAAAGTCCCATTTTTTCTTTATTGTGGCCTTCCCAGAAATCATGAGTAGCACCTGGCAACTTTATCTTGCCAAGCCTTGAGACTGCTGGCTTCTCCACTTAGGGAGTAAAACTGCCCTTTTTTCCTTTCCCTTTCTTCCCTGCCCTCCACCCCCCCCCCCTTCTGTATTCTCTCCATAGGGAGGATTTTATTTTTTTTTTTAAACCATTTGCTCTCCTGTCCTTGGCTGGGGAAGATAATGGCTTATTAGTTACAAGCTGGCTGCAAAATTGGCCTTGTTTTAACTTTTTTTCTCATTCTCTGTTCTTCCTGCCCTGGAATCCTGTAACAGTATGGTTTCCACATAAGAATTTGATGGGATACACACATTCAGTCCATAACATAGTGTGTTGCAATTAGATTTACTACTGGTTCCACCTCCAATTAATTTTTTGTGTAACAGACAGTGAATACTTAATTGTAGAGGATGTTGTTTATTTCATAGTATACAGTTTACTTCAGACATATATCTATTAAATTAAATTATACTAAAAACCGTCTTTCAGACTTTTACGAAAATTGTTTTTAGGGGATTATGTCTAAAGACCTGGGAATGATAAGTGACATTATTTAGGTTTTTCACCAGTTAATGGGTGTCTTCTGGTTCAGTAAAACTTGTCAGTGGGATGGATGTCCCAGGAAAGCTTAAGCTTAAAGGATTTCCTGATGACTTAGAGCATCTGCTTTTCAAGAGAGAAGAAGGAAATGAGAGTTGTGTTTGTAATCAGGTGCTGATGGTAGATGATGAACAATATGCCCATGCCAGTGTGTTTTGATCTTTCTTTATTATTATAGGGCCTAGATCTTTCTTCTCCATGAGATTTGTTCTGCATTTTCTTCTACCTAGAGATTCAGGAATCTGAAAGTGAGCTCATTTGATGGCCAAAATTTGAGTAGTGCTGGGGAATGATCTGGCTCTACCTGATATAACTCTGATGACACATTTTATTTATGAACACAAATATCTGTACTTCTTACTATTTTTTCATATTCACTTAACTGTGTTATCATTTACAAAAATGTTTCTTGGATACTTGTTTTATTTAAACTTCTATTCTGTTTCCCACCAGAAAGCCAAAGAGCATATCGATTTGTACAAGGGAAGGACTGGGGTTTTAAAAAATTCATTCGAAGGGATTTTTTGCTTGATGAAGCTAATGGTCTTTTACCAGATGACAAGCTTACATTATTTTGTGAGGTGGGTACATTTTTTTATTTCATGGAACTTCGTGGTTATATTTAGCAATGGAGCAAAATTATAAACAACAACAATATTGGGTATATTATAAAAAATAATAACTGGGATAATTGATAAGGTTTCATTTGAAAATATTTTACTAATAAAAGTTGACTAGATTGTCTTAGAAATCAGTATAGTAGCCCACTATGAAAAAATCTGGTCATATCTCTACTTGTAAGTTATATATGCAGTTACACTAACACATACTGAACATTCCTTTCTTTTATGAAGACTATGGGTGTGTATATCTTTATTTGACAAATGTAAATATCTTCATCATTCTGGATAATTCTGACGTAGATACTGAATATTTTTTGTCATATTCAAATTGGACATATTAAACATTAAGACATTATTAGTAGTTTACCAGTTTGAAACCATATTTGAACAGTGCACTGCCTGAAGAAGATTTGGAAGCTTTTTATTCATTAAGTAGTTGGGTTCATTTAATAAAATAATGTTTTTAGCAATAGTTTCTCAAATTTTTAAGTATGCCCATGTCTGCATGTTATCATGTAGTTTTATGTATACAAATTGTTGAGATTCAGCTTTGGAGTGAATTCAAGAATTATATTATGTTACCAGTATAGTTTACTATAAAGACTATGCATCGGTTACATAGTTTTATTGAAAAATTTTAAAGTTGTTGATAATTTTCAAAGGAGTGCCAGTTAATAGGATATAATCAGGTAAACTCAGTGTTAAATATATTTCAATAGGTTATTGTAGACAGATGAGTGTTTTGGAAACTTAGTAACTTCCTTAATTACTACTAAGTTAGCTTTGATTTCTTTGTAGAAAATGTGGAAAATTTCTTGGCAAGATTACAAACTAATTGTATGCCATTGTGCTGTTAGAAGAATAATTGAAACATGGCCCCAGAGACGATATAGTGCAAATATAATACATCTTATTTTTACTTAGACAAGTTAAATGAACTGTATGATGAGTTTGTTATAAATACAATTATTTGGTTGATAAAGTACATAACACAAATATCTTGAGCATAAATGATTATTAAATAATTTTTTTAAAATAACTAAACATTTGTTATCAATAGAGATTCTAAGAAGTATTCTAAATAAATATGTCATATTGTTTTAAAATTTTAGTATTCTTAATATAACATTTCCAAGAATTTTAGTAGTTATCTTAAATTTTAGCATGTTAATTTTTTTTAAAATCTTAGAGTTTTAAAAAATCTTAAAAGCTATGTAATCCAATTAAAAACTACTATAGCTAAAAGTCTATTTGTAAAGACTTTTACTATTAACTTTTAATTTTAACTTTTTAAGGTAATATTTCTTTTTTTAGAATTGAAATATTTACAGATATGTTCTTAAGCATGTTTTATTGGAACCTAGACAATCAAGAAATTCAGAATAAAGGCTGAAATTGAAAATACACTTTTTTGAGGTATACTTTTTATCTGCTAGATTGTGCACGCTAGTGACCTTAAAATAGAGCCCATAGGGACTTACATTTTAAGTTGGCTTTGATCAGATTCAGTTTGGATACTGTAATTAAGTACCCTTTTATCAATGTAGACATTTATACCCTGGGCACCATATTAGGCATAGGAAGGCAAAAAGTACTTTGAACAAACATTCCTCATGCCCTCCACCATTTCTTCACACCTCTCATTGCTGCCCTTCCTTCTACAGCATCTCCAGCACTGCTTGCAGAAGAGGAGGAAGCATTGCACTGCCCACGTAAAGAACTGCCTCCTCCCCCTCCCCTGCAAGTGGTGCTGTAGACAGGTAAGGCAGTTTGGTGCTACCCTTTTTGTGCAAGACATAATTTAATCTTGCAAGTTCCATACTGTAAATCAAGTAGCCAGGGGTAGAAATTCCTAACTGTGTAAACAGCTCTATGCCTTCTCTCCCAAAGTGATACAAAGGGCAGGAATTGAGGAATAAGTAGAAAAATAGGAAAAATAGAAAATTGTTTAGGTTAATTCATCTTTTTAAATCCAAAAGATTTTAAATAACCTTGTAGTCTACAGA